CACCGAACCCCCTTCAGTTTACGTCCGTGAGAAGGACTTGGAAAGGTATAAGAAACAACAACAGCAGCAGCAGCAACAAGAACAGTAAAAATGCCCAAAAGGAGCAAAGCCTGGATTCGACGCTTCAATACGCATTTCGACGATTCAACGCAGGGGGAATCAAGAATCAAAATATCACGAAATAGGAATGGATGGAAATCTATCTATCTCGCTGATCTCAGTCTAGGATATCAGTAAACACAGGCACATGGTCGTGGTATGTGGTTCAGAATTGAAGGAATGACGTTTATCTTCATCTGATGCATCCAAGCACTTAAAAACAAGGTTCAAAATGGGGATGCTTTTCTTTGCTATGAATATTTGAACACTTTTTCATACATGGAGCCTTGTATTAAACGCACCAACGTTAACACTTTGTAGGAAATGGACGTCAACGATGCCTCTGGGCTCCAAGTTTGCCTGTGAAGGAAATCCATGAGATTGGAAATTAGATCGGCCATGGAGGTGGAGTTGGAAGAAAAGGACTTCCATACGAATCAGGTTCAGAAATTGAGAGCGCACGTCCTCCCCAAGTTCCTCTAGATCAGAAATAAGTTAATCATCAGTTAATCACAATGCACTGGGCGTATGGACGCAGAGAGGGAGAAACGGGCTCCATACCGAAGGCCTGAAATAAACTCTTGGTCTGAAAGTGCCCAAGTATCTCTGTGAAGAAAACAAGTTTGTTTCAATCGATAGAACCAGGCGATTGGATGTGCGAAGAAAAATAAGGTCATGCATACCAATCATTTCCAGGAATTGAGAGAGCTCGTCAAACTCAAGTTTGCCTGTAATGAAAAATTAGGTCAATGACGTAACTTGCAGAATACAGACCAGAAGAGAAATGAAGTTAATCGAGAGCTATACCTTGACAGAAAATCTTGGCATCAATCAGCCAGTTTTCCTCTGGAAGAAAAATGTGACACTTATAACTAAACAATAAAAAACAACATTTTAGGCGTGAAGAACATGAAAACTGCAACTGAATAGAGTTAGTGCTTCACTTGTCTGAATGGCGCATCAGGAAAGGCTAAAAGTACGGCAACAGTTCAAGCAAACTGGAAAGCATGGGCCATACGGGTACAACAAAAGCATCGATGAAGTAGTATGAATATTTTTTCTTCAGTAACGCTAGGCCAATCGCAGGCCTTTTCAGACGTTCAAGAATTTCAGAGGACATTTAACGTTAGACAGATTAGAGGCCTGTCTCGAGTTTCATAACCACTTCAGTGCGGACGCGGAACGTTAGGTCTATCTGGAGTTCCTCGAACCACCACCACGATGTTTCAGGAGAAACGGGCTCTGGAAAGCATGAATTGCATGTCGGACTCCATCTTGCTAATTCAAGGATGTCCGAGTGAGATATCTCCATATCCCACCACATCGATCGGCCTCTGCGAATCACCACGATGTTTCAGGAGAAACGGGCTCTGGAAAGCATGAATTGCATGTCGGACTCCATCTTGCTAATTCAAGGATGTCCGAGTGAGATATCTCCATATCCCACCACATCGATCGGCCTCTGCGAACCACCGTTTCATTCCTGCTCATCTCAAGAATTCATGACAAAAATGTTCCATACAATAAAAAAGGAAGATCCAGACACAGATGCTAAGGCCGAAGCAATCATGAATCTGACATAACTCCAGCACGATATCCGGCAACACTGGGAACGGGACTGGAGTCAGCACTCTAAACCTAAATTAACGACAGCTAATTTCATTTCATGTGGCAAACAGATGCATGGCAAGCCACAAAAAGGAAAATTTTGATGACCTAAAAGTCAACATCTTTCCTTTGGTTGGTATAATTTGTCTAAAAACGCCCCATGGAGGAGGTAAGAGAAGAAAAAAGGAAAATAAAAACGGAATGAAATGGCCGTCTTCCTAGAACGATAATCAGTGTCACCTGCAACCCCAGGAAATTAAACGTTCCAAACTGCTCTTACAAAAAATTTTTACCTGAGGTAAAATTCGGACGGTGAGACTGAGGTAAAAAAGCGGGAATATTCCCCTTTCTTTTACCTCAGTTTCACCATTCGAATTTTACCGTTCCCTTCTTATTTACCGCTCTTTTACCTATGTTACCGTTCCGCTCTCATTTACAGCTCTTGTACCGCAGTTTCACCTCACAATTTTACCGTTCCCTTTCATTTAGCGCTCTTTTACCTATATTTTACCGCAGTTTTACCCGTGTTTCACCTCTACCCCCAATTTACCGCTCTTTTACCCGTCATTTACCTTTTGCCCACAGAATATCCCTTACCCCAGACTAACCTCTTGTTTCAAGAATTCGCTGATGCACTTGTCACATATGAAAAGTGTAACATTAACACTGAGACTATGATTAAAATATGTTAATCACAACACCCATATGGGTGTTGCGATCTAATAATGAAAGCATGACTTACACAAGAGAATGACATCGTTAAATAGTGGGGAAAATGTATTTCTAAGCTCATGACTTGTCTGTCTGATCATTAGTCTCAGAATTCTGAATGCACTTTTACACTAAACTAATCCGAGTTGAATAGTCGAAAGTTCAGAGATCCTGAGATAAGCTTGACCTAACGTCATTGGAACCAATTCACATCACCACACAAATAACATTTTTGAGAAAGAGAGAAACCACTGACAATCACCGAGACTGATTTGCAGTCATAACGGATACAAAGCGATCTGGGGAACAGAGTATTTACAACACGTCTCACAACGATGACAAAGACGAGCGAGAATAAGCAAGGGGGAACATTCCCTTGGGTTAACCAAAATTTTACCTTTGAGTCTTATCACTTTTCAAGATCCTGCTCACTGAGGAGTCGTTTCCACAGAGCTTAAGATAAAAATGTGGGATTCCTCTCTTTTTCCCCGTTTTTTCCCCTCTCTCAACCTGTCAGAAGCCACTTCAGGTAAAGATTAAGAGAAAATATGGTTATATATAGATGAATCAGAGGGTTACGTTTTGTAAAAGTAGAGAAATTCAGTGTTGAGATAGGAAGCACACCAAATGTGGTTCCAAAAAAATTTTTCAGGGGAATACAATGAATATGAAATACGTTATGAGACGGGGTTCAAGAGGGGGAATAGGCGCTACCGTGCCTATTGATGAAGTAAAACTACTAAATCGGGGAAGAATTAACACATGGGTGACGGGCCCCGAGAAATCTCGCAGCTAGCTCGTAGTTAGCGCGCGAGCGGTTGGTGACCGGCCCATGTGTTAAAAACTGAAGGAAGATGAAAGTAACAAACCAGGAATTTGAAGGAAATCCCTACGAACTCCAGGCTCAAATTGATCTGCGAAAAATTGAAACAAGATAAAAGATGTTGAAAGGGGAAGAAGGAGTAGGAAAAAAATCCATACAGAAGGATATTAGGAGAGAATGAATTCTGATGCCACCGAGCTCAACTGCAACAATAAATATATATACAATATATCATTCAATAACATCAACATAAAAAGAAACATACAGATATTAAAAGTCATACCCAAACATTCGGGAAAAGAGCAAAGACCAATCAGACTTGTTCAGATGAATATGAAAAAGAAATATTGAATACCGAGAAGAAAAAATATCTAATACTAAATCAAGAAGCAAAGTGATTCTTCTTACAAATGCTATCTTCTTTCTGATTATTTTGCAGATTCTTCTTACAAAAAGAAAAAATTTTTTCTCACCAATGCTTTCTAGTACTCGTTTCCTTTCGACAGGGTCCATGCGCGCTATATGAGAAATAATAATGTTTATTTAAAAGAGCCTGGGCGGGGAGACTGAAGAAGGGAAAAACAATTTTCTTACTAATGCTCTCTAGTACTCGTTTCCTATCGTCTTCATCCATGCGCGCTGTGTGGGAAATAATAATGTTTAATTAAAAGAGGCTGGACGAGGAGACTGACAAAGGGAAAAACAATTTTCTTACTAATGCTGCACAGGTTTACACACTCAAAAGGGTCCAGCGGCGCTGTATGGGAAATAATAATGTTTAATTAAAAGAGGCTGGGCGGGGGGCGGGGAGACTGACGAAGGGGAAAACAATCTTCTTACCAATGCTCTCTAGTAGTCGTTTCCTATCGTCTTCATCCATGCGCACTGTAAGGGAAATAATAATGTTTAATTAAAAGAGGCTGGGCGTGGAGACTGACGAAGGGAAAAACAATTTTCTTACTAATGCTGCTCAGTAGGTTTGCACCCTCAAAAGGGTCCGGCGGCGCTGTATGGGAAATAATAATGTTTAATTAAAAGAGGCTAGGCGGGGAGACTGACAAAGGGAAAAACAATCTTCTTACCAATGCTCTCTAGTAGTCGTTTCCTATCGTCTTCATCCATGCGCACTGTAAGGGAAATAATAATGTTTAATTAAAAGAGGCTGGGCGGGGAGACTGACGAAGGGAAAAACAATTTTCTTACTAATGCTGCTCAGTAGGTTTGCACCCTCAAAAGGGTCCAGCGGAGCTGTATGTGAAATAATAATGTTTAATTAAAAGAGGCTGGGCGGGGAGACTGACAAAGGGAAAAACAATTTTCTTACCAATGTTGTCTAGCACTCGTTTCCTATCGTCTTCATCCATGGGCGCTGTATGGGAAATAATAATGTATCATTAAAAGATGCTGGGTGGGGAGACTGACGAAGAGAAAAACAATTTTCTTACCAATGCTCTCTAGTACTCGTTTCCTATGGTCTTCATCCATGCGCGCTGTATGGGAAATAATAATGTTTAATTAAAAGAGGCTGGGCGGGGAGACAGACAAAGGGAAAAATAATTTTCTTACCAATGCTGTCTAGTACTCGTTTTCTATCGTCTTCATCCATGCGCGCTGGATGGGAAATAATAATGTTTAATTAAAAGAGGCTGGGCGGGGAAACTGACAAAGGGAAAACCAATTTCTTACTAATGCTGCTCAGTAGGTTTGCACCCTCAAAAGGATCCAGCGGAGCTGTAGCGGAAATAATAATGTTTAATTAAAAGAGGCTGGGCGGGGAGACTGACAAAGGGAAAAATAATTTTCTTACCAATGCTGTCTAGTACTCGTTTTCTATCGTCTTCATCCATGCGCACTGTATGGGAAATAATAATGTTTGATTCAAAGTGGCTGGGCGGGGAGACTGACGAAGGGAAAAACAATTTTCTTACAAATGCTGCTCAGTAGGTTTGCACCCTCAAAAGGGTCCAGCGGCGCTGTATGGGAAATGATAACGTTTAATTAAAATAGGCTGGGCGGGGAGACTGACGAAGGGAATTTTCTTACCAATGCTCTCTAGTACTCGTTTCCTATCGCCTTCTTCCATGAGGGCTGTATGAGAAAAAATAATGTTTAATTAAAAGATGCGGGGCGGGGAGACTGACGAAGGGAAAAAATATTTTCTCACCAATGCTCTCTAGTACTCGTTTCCTATCGTCTTCATCCAGGCGCGCTTGTATGGAAAATAATGATGTTTAATTAAAAGAGGCTGGGCGGGGAGACTAACGAAGGGAAAAACAATTTTCTTACTTATGCTGCTCAGTAGGTTTGCACCCTCAAAAGGGTCCAGTGGCGCTGTATGGGAAATAATAATGTTTAATTAAAAGAGGCTGGGCGGTGAGACTGACGAAGGGAAAAACAATTTTCTTACTAATGCTGCTTAGTAGGTTTGCACCCTCAAAAGGGTCTAGCGGCGCTGTATGGGAAATAATAATTTTTAATTAAAAGAGGCTGGGCGTGGAGACTGACGAAGGGAAAAACAATTATCTTACCAATGCTCTCTAGTACTCGTTTCCTATCGTCTGCATCCATGCGCGCTGTATAGGAAATAATTCAATTTAATTAAAAGAGGATGGGCGGGGAGACTGTCGAAGGGAAAAACAATTATCTTACCAATGCTCTCTAGTACTCGTTTCCTATCGTCTTCATCCATGCGCGCTGTATGGGAAATAACAATGTTAAATTAAAAGTGGCTGGGCGGGGCGACTGACGAAGGGTAAACTATTTTCTTACTAATGCTCCTCAGCAGGATTGGACTCTCAAAAGGCTCGAGCGGCGCTTTATGGGAAATAATCATGTTCATTTAAAAGAGGCTGGGCGGGGAGGCTGACGAAGGGAAAAATAATTTACTTACTAATGCTGCTCAGTAGGTTTGCAGCCTCAAAACGGTCCGGCGGCGCTGTATGGGAAATAATAATATTTAATTAAAAGAGGCTGGGCTGGAAGACTGACGAAGGGAAAATCAATTTTTCTACCAATGATCTCTAGTACTCGTTTCCTATCGTCTTCATCCATGCGCGCTGTATGGGAAATGATAATGTTGAATTAAAAGAGGATGGGCGGGGAGACTTGACAAAGTGAAAAAACAATTTTCTTACCAATGCTCTCTAGTACTCGTTTCCCTTCGACAGGGTCCATGCGCGCTGTATGGGAAATAATTATGTTTAATTAAAAGAGGCTGGGCGGGGAGACTGAGGAAGGGAAAAACAAATTTCTTACTAATGCTGCTCAGTAGGTTTGCACCATCCAAAGGGTCCAGCTGCGCTGTATTGGAAATAATAATGTTTAATTAAAAGAGGCAGGGCGGGGCGACTGACAAAGGGAAAAACAATTTTCTTACCAATGCTCTCTAGTACTGGTTTCCTATCGTCTTCATCCATGCGCGCTGTATGGGAAATAATCCGATACTTTAATTCGAAGAGGTCAAAAGCTGCGGTGGTGGTGGTCGTGGCTGTCACCCCCAACGCGCAGGCCTACAATACAATCCCCTTCTGGATCATAGGCCATTCCATCCGCGGCCTAAAGCGCCAGGCTTACAAGGCTACGTCTTTCCAGTCCACATTATACTTTGATTCGAAAAACCCGAGAGCTGTGGTGATGGTAGTTGTCACCCCAGTGCGCGAGTCCTACGAGACTATGTCACTTCTGGCCATATGCTGGGGCATCCACCTCTCAAAGCAATAGGTTCTTGAGGCTATGCTATTATAGGCCATAGGCTTGGCCGTCCAACGCTTTTAGCGCCAGTTCCATTGAGCTATATCAGTCCGAGCCATAGGCTTCGTACTTAGTTGTGTCGATCAAAGTTTTTTTCTTTCTTTATTTTCGTTAAGTCAGGCATTGCGGTTCGGGACATCACTTCTATGCAAGTGTTCTCTGTTTGCGTTTCAGGTCATGGCGGATTTATTTGAATTCTTATGATTGATGAAATTAAAATAATGAAAGTTCTTTGTTTCATACTTCGCGCAACGGGCCGCTCCTCCCATCAAAATTGTGGCGATTTTTTCGTGGTGAGATTGAACGTGAAAAAAAAAAATGTTGAAAGAGGTCCCACAGGACGGCGATGAGGCAGTCGCTGCAGATAGTAAACAATTGGTGCTGGCGCGGAAACAACGTT